CTTTCTTTCTTTCTTTCTTTCTTTCTTTCTTTCTTTCTTTCTTTCTTCTTAGATAGCATTATTTTTTCTGGCTGTCCTGGAACTCACTATATAAATCAGGCTGGCCTCAACTCACAGAGATCTGCTTGCCTCTGCCTCTCAAGTGCTGGGATTGAAGGCATGCTCTATTATGCCTGGTAGTTTTAACAACTTTAAAGAAAATCAAGATAGTGCTATATGAGATGTGTATGCGGGCAGGGGGATTTATTGTTTTTCAAAACATAATTTGAAAACTACATGCAAATGCAATGCTTTTAGCAAAGACTTCAATGTTTATTTTTAAATCGTGTTTTAATTTTAATTAAAATAAATGATGGGCAACTCTGGCGTCTTCTTTCCCCTTAAGCTAAAGATAACCGTGTCAACTTTTCATAGAAGTTACTGACACTCCGGAGGAGTAACGGCATAATTCTATTTTTCAGTGTTAAAAATATAACTTCCTTTCATTTCACTGGCACTTGTTCACTTGCAAAGCACCTTTTGTATGCCACTTCATTTAATTTTTTCTTAAATGCCTTTGCCACGTTCTCGACGGTCCTAGGGGAATCCAGTCATGGAATGCTACAGCAAGCATTCATTTTCCTCCTTCTCTTCTGCCCACGTTTGCAGCAAAAGTTCTACATTAGAATCATTTATAGAACTTTGAAAAATTAGAAAGAGAAAGACCCAACCCTAGTCTCAATTAATTCAGGATTCCGAGGAAGGAATATGAGCAGTTTTCTCCCTTCCCCCTGCTCTAAAAGGGAGGCAAGTTTGGTCTAATCACTGCTTTAACTCTTGACTAATAACTATACTAAACTTAACCATTAGAATAATTTTCCTAAAACTCTGGTGTATTTGCCTGTCTTTCTAACCACCATGAGGCTCCTGAAACTCATTCCTCCACATATAGGTAGAAACTGTTATTTATTCTTTTGTAGTTCTTGTCTGTGTGTGTGTGTGTCTGTCTGTCTCTGCTTCTCTTTATCTTTGTGTTTCTGTCTCTCTGTGTATCTGTCTCTGTCTCTTTCTCTCACTTTCCAAACAGTACTGTAACTAGTTACATGAAATGTCTAAAGTTGTCCAGATGGACAACTTTTGATGTGATTACACTCAATTCCTTCATTTCCTCCTTATCTGTATTTAATGTACTTTGATAGCCTTTTCGCTTGTCTATCTCTCAAAGCCACAGGCTTCTTTCCTTCTTTGCCTTGCCTTAATTGATCATCTTGGTCATCAGGAACAACATGTAACTTTTAATGGTCCTGCAGCCTTGCAATTCATAGTAGCTGACCAATGTCTGCTGTGAAATAAATCTCATCTTGTGGCTCTCCTTGTTCTCAGGAAATCATTTAAATAGCCTTGTCTAATTCATCAGTTTCCTTTTCAGTCTATCCACACTTCCACCTGTATCTCCCAGGATTCTCTTTTTTCCTCAGAGTTCTATACTTTTCTTTTTTTTCTTCACAAGTTCTGGACTGATTCTCAATTTGGCTGCTGAGACTTTTTTATTTTTATTCATTCTTCAAAATTTACCTTAACTGTTCCTTCCTAGGTCACGACTCTACTGTACTTCTTAAAGGACCTAGTCCTTCATTACTCTTCCCACACTTTAAATGAAAGATTTGTATTTTTCTCAATTTCCAATTCTACCGTTAATTTACAAGCCCATTGAATTACTTTGTGGGGACCTATCTTCTTCACTTACCATTTTATTCCCATATGTAACTCAGAACTTAATACTGAAAAGATGTTCAGTAACAGGTCACCATGAGTTTATGCATGATTCAGTAGTGGGGGGACTGTTTGGAATTGGAGAGAATGCATGTCTCATTTTCAATAACTCGCACCATCCTTCTCATTTCAGGGAGGTTTAAAAGCAGTGGTGTGGACAGATGCATTTCAGATGGTTGTCATGATTGTGGGCTTTTTATCAGTTCTCATTCAAGGATCAAATCAGGCTGGTGGATTCGACAATGTATTAGAACAAGCAACGAATGGATCTCGGCTACATGTATTTGAGTAGGTCCAATGCTATTTTTTCATGCTTTATGAAAATTAGATATATAAACTCATAAAATGATAACAGCTGGGACTCAAAGGAAAAAAAAATCTCAGTTCCTCCCTTTTTTTCTGTGTCACAGCTTTGATCCAGATCCTCTTAGACGGCACACGTTTTGGACAATTACAGTAGGTGGAACTTTCACTTGGCTTGGAATCTATGGCGTTAACCAATCAACCATCCAGAGATGCATCTCTTGCAAAACAGAAAAACATGCTAAGCTGTAAGTTGTTGATTAAAAAAGAAGTTCTACATTATGATGAGTTATTACATGAGTATGCATGCATGTGGAAAGGAGAGATAAAAGATTTATTTAACTTGCTCAAAGTCTTTGTGTGCATTTGTGTGTTTGAGTGTGTAGGTAGGCATACATTTGAGTGCTGTGTGTGCAGGTATGTTGGGGGTTAGGGGTGAGTGCATGCATGTGGAAACTAGAGGAGGATGTTGGATTCCTTGCTTCATCATTCTCCATCTCAGGTTTTCGTTCATTTGCTTGTTTGAGACAGGGTCCCTATACATAGCTCTAGTGGTCCTAAAGCTCACTATGCACAACAGCCTGGCCTCATACTCACTGAGATCTGTCTATTTCTGTCCCCTGAGTGTTGGGTTAAAGGTATATAGCATCAGGCCTCTCCAGGTCTTATTACTTTGACACAGGATCTTTCTCTGGATCTAGAAATAGACTGGCAGTCCAGCGATCCTCTTGTCTCTCTGCTTTTCATGCCACTAAGGTGCATGCACAGCCATGCCTTGCTTTTTACATGAGTGCAGAATCCAATTTGAAGTTTGTGTTCTTATGTAGTAATTTTTCTTATACAGTCCTTTCAACAACTATTTCAATCAAACATAACTATTTCTAGCTTAGCATACTGCCTTTGGCTTTAACTTTCATCTGCCCTCATCTCAAAAGCAACTCTAACCAATACTTATCTATTTTTATGTTATCTCATTAATATCTCTCTGGAAGAGAAGTTATAAAATGTAAGTTGTCTTTTTTTTAATAGTTCCATTAATTGAGTAGGAGGGAATCACTTAAAGTTATATAATAGGAATAATCAATATGTAAAATTTTATACAAGAAAATTTTGACACAGGTCATATGCCACACATATTACAATTCAGAGGAAAACTCATTTTCAAAGAAAAATTCATATAAATCTTAGTGTGTTCAAATTTGGTAATTGTCCTAAAAATGTAATGACTCCTTTAATGTGAAATTATAAAGTGTAATGCTTCTTGCAAGCTGGAGAGTGAGCCCTCCCGAAGTGTGGCATTCAGTCCTTGAACGTAAACTTAGCCCGCCACAGTGTGGCATTCAGCTTGCTAACTGTCCTGTGTTTTCTCTTCTAGTGCCTTGTACTTTAACTTGTTGGGTCTCTGGATTATTGGGGTGTGTGCCATCCTCTCTGGCTTGATCATGTACTCCTACTTCAAAGACTGTGACCCTTGGACTTCTGGTGCTGTCTCAGCACCGGACCAGGTATGTGCTTTTTGATTTCACAGTAGAGTATCTGGAATAGGTTATATAGTAGGGGCATCGTCTTTATTCTGCCTGGACCTTCATCCACTGGTGAAGTACAGGCCTCTGGCTTCTTACTTGAACTCCTGGATGACATCACTCATTGTGCATTCTAATATGCAGACATGGGCCTACAGAAAGAGGACACATCTCCTTGTTCATGAGGACAGAGTCTGAAGACAGGCTAAGGCTAAGTAGAACCTAAGTTTGAATCCATGGGTTTGGCTGTTGATGATACTTTATCTTCTTTTTCTACATTGTTTGAGGTTTACTAATGATTGTTTAGTTGAAAATTGAGCAAAATGAGCATGGAGTCATGTACTTGGAATTATAGTATTTAAAAGTGAAGAAAAAGGATTAGGAGTTTAAGGCAAACATTGGTTATATAGGGAATTTGAGAGGATACTCTGGTCTATACGAGGTTATAGTAAATAATACAATTAAACAAACAGTTCTTATTCTCAAAATGCCTACTATCAAATGTTCCTAGCATAGCATAAATATATCATGAAAGTGCAGAACACAAAATGTGGTTTTAACTTAGACTGCATACACAAGAAGCATTCACTCCCCTTTTCTCTTCATGTGTATTGTATCTTGCATTGTGTCCTTCCCCACGAGCTGGGCTATAGCTAGTTTCCCTGAAGTACATACATTCAAGAATAGTTTTTAAGAGCTTAATTCTAAATTCAGACAAAACAGACAAGAAAAATTCACACATTGAAGACACTGGGAAATAAATTTCTCATCTCTTTTTTTAAATTTTTTATTAATTACTTTATTCATTTTGTATCCCCCCATAAGCCCCTCCCTCCTCCCCTCCGGATCCCACCCTCCCTCCCCTTTCTGCATGCATGCCACTCCCCAAGTCCACTGATAGGGGTGGTTCTCCTCTCCTTTCTGATCTTAGTCTATTAGTTCTCATCAAAAGTGGCTGCATTGTCCTCTACTGTGGCCTGGTAAGGCTGCTCCCCGCTCAGGGGGAGATGATCAAAGAGCAGGCCAATCAGTTTATATCAGAGGCAGTCCCTCTTCCCATTACTAGGTAACCCACTTGGACACTGAACTGCCATGGGCTACACCTGTGCAGGGGTTCTAGGTTCTCATCTCCTTTTGCTAGAATTCATATTCCAATATTTCAGATATTGCTGAGATGTCTATTAATACCATTCTCTCCCCTCCCTCCTCTCTCTCTCTTTTTTTTTTTTTTTTCTAGCTGATGCCATATTTTGTCATGGAGATTTTTGCCACTATGCCAGGGCTACCAGGACTCTTTGTGGCTTGTGCCTTTAGTGGAACTCTGAGGTTAGTATGTTGACAAGATGAAGGTGATGGTGGCAGTGGTAGTGACAATGAACTGACCGGAATGAAGATGGCCATAATCAGTTGTCTACAGAGCGCTTGCTGAGTGTCAGTTGGCCTACTTCAATGCTGCATTTCTGTTTGATCATTGGTATCACATAGCAGGTGCGGGAAAAGCTTTACTCACATTCTCATCAGTTTGCAGAGAAGAAAACAGATTTAATAAGGATGAGGGAGACAACTTCCCTATGAAAAGTGAATAAAGTGTGGAGGCAGGATGCAGGAGTAATTTTTACATACGCTTTGAACCTTCCTAGATATTTTTTCAACTTTGTCACTTTGTCTATATTCATTCCATCACAAAAAGACCCAAGCATTTTCATTGCTACAGCATGGACCAAAAGCCTGAGTTCTCTCTACAACGGTCAGGGCAAACTCAGCTGTAAGAACCTGAAAAACAAATAAAATTCTATCTTTCAAATTCTTGTGGGACACACAAAAGGCGTGATGAGCCAAGGACAAAATCAGGACTCAGCACTGCAGACATTAAATCTGAAAATTCCATGCCTGAGGCATCATACTAGAAGATGGGCTCCCTAGGATTTGAGCAGTTCCAACTCTGTGTCCTTGCTGTTGCCTCAAGCTGGCTTTTCCAGCTACCTGTAGCTTATTCCAATGAGCAGTGCATGCTGCCATCTTTTCTATCTTCATCAGGTTTATACTGCAGCTTCAACTTGACTTATATACTCCATTATATTGTCTTATAAAGGGTTGCTTCCAGCATGCTGCCCTGCTGACAAGAAATTTTTGAGATATTGACATTATAAATTATATTTGATAATGTATTTTCTTTGGTCCATAATTTGTTCAGAAAGGAAATTTATTCTATAATTATGAATGACATATAGTATGTTTGTTATGTTATTAATTATTAAAATTACTAAATATATGTAATATAAAAATAGAGAATATAATATATTTTCCCTCAAAATTATCAGTCATTTGTCGTAATTTTTAGTAAATAATCCATCTTTTTACCTATGACTTGAAGTGTTACTTTTTATTTCATCCTATTTCTCTTATATATTTCAACTATTTTAGAAATCTTCCTTTGTATTCATTTCATCTGCTGGTCTATAGCTGAAATGATGTCAGGGCTTTTAATGAATACAACATATAATGTAATATGTATCAGAAGCTGATTATTAGGTTTTTTACATGATTTTCTGTACATTGAGGGTTTTATCTCAGTTATTTCTAGTTAATTTTCTGTGATATTTTCCCTCAAATTATTAAAACCACAAATATTTTTGAAGGTTTCTTCTTTTCTTCTAATTATATTCTTTTGTTTCCCTATATAACTACATTTTGTAAGCAATGACAAATAACTGAAATTGAAATCATTATCTTATTATATTCCTTAAAGGAACCATTCTTGGGTGGTTTTTTCACCTTTTAAATTTCATTTAGTTATATATTGAACTAGCTAAAAAAATTCTTGCTCTATGTGAGGAATTAAAATAAGCTTTTAGATGATTTTGCAAAAACAAACAAACAAACACACATACACCAACTTTCTGATGCTTTGACAGGTCTATTTAGACTCAGTTTAATGAAGTCAGAGAGGGAGGGGGCAGCAATTCTGTGAGCTGGTTACAGTCTATGCTCCTTCCCAGGCTCTCCTTTCTTTCTCCTTTCCAGACTCTCTTGAAGCTTCAAGCTGTAGAAAGCAATCATGTCCCTTGTACCTCAAGGTGTATGCTCATGATTTTCCGTTTATCCTCTTAGAGTTTTCACCTACTTTTCATAAATTTTTCTCACTCTTTTAAACCATCAATATTTATTTATTTATTATTACAAATTATTTACTTTGCATCAGGCTGTAGCCCCCTTCTTTGTCTTCTCCCAGTCCTACCCTCCCTCTGTCTTCTCTCCCTATGCCCCTCCCCTAGTCCACTGGTAGGGGAGGTCCTCATGACCCTAGCCTATAAGGTCTCACTAGGACTGGCTGCATTGTCTTCCTCTGTGGCCTGGGAAAGCTCCATTCCTCAGGGGGAGATGATCAGAGAGCCAGCCACTGAGTTCATGCCAGAGACAGCCCCTGCTCCCCTGACTAGGGAACTCGCTTGGAGACTTTTAAAAAGGACCATCTTCTATCAGATTCGGGGTAACTTGAACTGCCCTTCACTGTAATTTCACAACTGCAAAAAGTTGCAAAATTGATTGTTGGATTTTTATATTCCAAGATAGATGGCAAGGATTATGGTTTTCAACACTTACATATGCATAAACAGATACACAGATAAACAAGTTGTTAATTAATAAAAACTGCACTTACTTTTGGTTTAGAATCCTTACTCCTATGTTGCTTCCAACAGAGACACACTCTATCTCTGTATATACACACGCATGCACAAACATTGGTGTATGTGTGAAAACTTCGTCAACTATTGCTTGCTATTTGTTACCATATTGTCAAGGAAGATTAATAAGAGTTATAAAAAAAAAACTTAGCTTCTTTCAGAGAGTATTTGCATAGACAGTTTGAAGGATGACTCAACAGGGCATGTAATTCACTGGGTTCTAAAACATGAACATATGCTGAGATCTGTTTCACAAGGCTCTGTATTTGTTACCTGACTCTCTTAGATAATAAGGTTGACCTACAACGCATTCTTTTTAGTTCAGACCATTTTCTTGTTTGTTTTTTGTTTTGCCTTGTTTTTCTTTCTGTAGCACAGTGGCTGCCAGCATCAATGCTTTAGCAACAGTGACCTTTGAGGATTTTGTCAAGAGCTGTTTTCCACACATCTCCGACAAGCTGAGTACCTGGATCAGTAAAGGCTTATGTAGGTATAGCTGGTGGAAATATTTGAATATATTTTATGAAAGTTAGTTGGGCCAAATATCAGAATCTTGCATTGCTGTTCAGGATTCATGACTAAACATAAATCCATACTGAGACACAAACTTGTAGATTCTCAAGCTTCTAAAATCCTTAATAGAATGGAAGGAATGACTAGCTAGTTTACATTGCCCTGGCCTTACTTTTTGGTTATATAGTGCTCTAATCTCTTCACATCAGTGTGTCTTGACAATGCTGAGTTGATCCTACCAAATGTTTCATATGAGGAGATGATCTGTTCAGTATGACTGGCCACTTTATCTAATAATTATCTCTTGATACCAATGAATCAGTGTTCCTTGTGGTACTAAAAGTTGCATATAATTTCCTCAGCTAGAGATGTGGGTTTATTTATTCCTCACTCATCCATGCTGGGATGTTGATTGGCATGATCTCATGCAGATCTTGTGCACAGTCAACTACAGTTGTTGTGAATTCATGGGTGCAGAGCTCCTGTCATGCCTACATGACAGTTTTGCTCTAGTTCCTATCAACTTCTGGTTCTTATAATATTTCTGCCCCACCCCCATCCAGATATTCCTTGAGCTTGGGGGTGGGCAGGGTGTGATAGAGATGACTGACAATTGATGGTTGTTTGGTGAGGGAGATTAAATTTTCTTTAGCGATGTCTCTAAACACGGCTAATCATGCAACAATGGATGCCTTCACATACGCAAGTATATTGGCAACACTAATTGGACCCAGTGAGTTACTAAAAAATAATAAAGTGGCCTTGAAATTGGGAGGGAGGCTTGGGGAGGAGCCAGGAGTAGCTGGAGGAAGAGAGTGGTAGTTTAATATAATTGAAATATATGCAGGAATGAAATTCTCATTGACATTTTCATTATTAAAACTGCATATATTAATCACTGAAGCAGTTACCATGTTGGATTATATTTTCAACAACTTTCCTGCTTTTTTTTTACAGCTTGATTTTTATTTTTGATTAGTATATGTATGTGTGTACGTCTGAGTATGGGTTTGTACACTTGAGAATAGTGCCCGTAAGCTGTCAGCTCCCTTGGAACAGGCAATTGTGAACTATCTGATGTGAGTGCTGGAAACTGGACTCAAGTGCTCTGCAAGAGCGGTTTGTGCTCTGAATTAATAAGCATTTACTTCTCCAGCCTCCAAATTTGCTGTTTTTAAGGTACAAATAAATTGGGTAACAAATATGCTCAATATAGAAAATACAGCTAATTTAGAGGAGTAATTCAGTTTGTAATTAAAATTATACCTATATAATCCTGTTTCTGGTTGTTTTCATGCAGGACTTCACATTGTGCGATTTTGCTATGTGTGCTTTAAAAATGTAGTTCAATGATTATACAATATTTAATTCAATGGTTAGTTTTTTTATTTATATTCTTGTTACTTTCTTAGTGTATAGTCATTGTACATAGCGATGAGCTTCATAAAGACATTGTTTTCAAGTATCATATATTTTGAACACTTTCACCAACCATAACTTCCTTCTTTCTCCATTTCCATCAATTTCACAACATAAAAAGAAATTTTCATTCTTCTTTGTGCCTGAATCCAGGGTCATCTGTCTGTCTTAGCAGTTGATCTTGGCGGAAACTCCTCTGTAGTTGTTTGCAAACATGGAACACCTATAGTGTCATGCTTACCCCTGAATATTTTCAAAGACATTTGCATTTTCACAACTTAGAGCGTTTGAGGTGGAGTCTTGCCCTCAGGACAGGCCTTGAGGTTTCTTTTTAATTATAGTTGCTTTCTCTGCACTACTCATATGCAGCTTCAAATTGCCTCCCTCTCACCTCTATCCTTTTTTCCTTATCTTTCTTTTCAGACTTTCCTGTTCCTTTTCTTTTTGTTGATATTGTGGATGATATGATTTTCTCATAATATTTTCTCCTCTGCAAGTACTTACCAGGCTTCATCACGCTTAGCTGCCAAGATCAGATCAGATCTTAAATTCAGAGTGGTATGGCCACAAACTACAGTTTTTAAACTGTTTGATATCAGTGTGAAATTATTATGTATTTTTTTCTGTGTGTGTGTGTAAAGTTCATACACAGCCATTTACCCAACTCTTGCCTATTCACAAATTTAAATTGGATTTTATAAAAGTGTGCTTATTGTATATAACGGTTTTATTATTCACTTCTTTGTTCTTATTTTAGCCTTTTGTTTCACTAATTTATAACTTTTATTTGTTGTTTTTGTCATAGTTTTAACCTCTGCATCCTTGAAATATTTCTCTCAATATTTTCTTTGAACTTGCCTCAAATGAAAATCTCTTCACAAGAGTTATTTTTACTTTTGCTCTTATGTTTTGCTCCTTACACCTTACTATAAAAAATATACTGTGGCAACATATCAATACCCTCATATAAATATATGAGTCTCCATTAATTTTTTGTAAACTTTTTTTACATATTCATCCAGCTTTTTGTCAATCCATTTATCTATTATACCGTTTAGTTATTTAAAAGTAAGTTGCAAATATCACTTCATTTTCCATAATTATTTTAGCTTGATTATTATTAATTATCTGTTTCAAGACGTTTAATAAAAAAAAATTATCTCATAATGTAATGGACAACTTTTAAGTACATACTTGTTGAGTTTTGAGAAATGCATTGTCGTAGTTGGGGTTACTATTGCTGTGATGAAACGCCATGACCAAAAGCAAGTTTATATTTTTACATAACAGTTCATCAGAGAAGGAAATAAAGACCAGCACTCAAACAGGGCCGGAACCTGGAGGCAGGGGTTGATGCTGAGCAACAGAGGGGTACTGCTTACTGGCTTGCTTTCTTGAGAACCCAGAAGCACCTGCTTAGAAATGGCTCTATCCACATGGTCACGAAGCTTCCATATTAATCATTAATTAAGAAATCACCCTTCTAGTTGCCAATGGCCCAATCTTACAGAAACATTTTCTCAATTTAGGCTCCCTCCTCTCCAATGACTCTAACTTGTGTCATGTTGACATGCATTTAGGCAGCACATGCATGTACCTGTGAAACCCAATTACTTACTAAGATATGTCGTCATGAATGCTTTCCCACGACTTCTCTCATTATCATCTGCTCTCAGCCACCTCTAGAGGAAAGCAACAACCAGATTTTTATTTCCACTGTAGATTTTTACTTTTCTAGAATTTCATATAAATGGAGTCCCGCTGTGACCCAGGTTTTGTAGAATCTGTGTATGTTCAGTACAAGTAATATATATACATACTTAGAGTTTAATACTTCAGTCATGCTTAAGTGAATGTAAGGAAAACAGCCACGGATTTGGAGTATCAACTACCACTCATTAGTGGATGGTTCTGGGATGCTTCAGTTTGAGATAATTAGAAATAATCTTATACAATCCTTTTAAGAACCTCTACTCATTGTTCTTCAGCAGGTGTGCTCTGCCAGCTCTCAAGGTTTCACATCTATATGAGATGCTTAGCTGTTGCATCTGGCTTTATTTTCATAAGTCTCAGTGGTGTTGGCTCTTAAGTGTTTGTGTTTTCGTTGAATCAGTTTTTATTTTCTTTACATTCATTTTTCTTTGCTTAAATGATTCTATGTAATCTTTGTAGTAAAATGAGATTGATTGATTTTAAGTGACATTTTTCTGATTATCTGGTGAATTGTTTCCAGAAATATTCATTATATATGTATTAATCTTTGTGGCCTCATGTAAGCATGAATGACAGGATAACAATATTTTTTTCTTTATTTATGCTAGGACAAGGTTAGATGTATGAAATCACATATTGCTCAATAAGTGAAGTCTGTGGAATTTTACACTGCATTGATTAGATATCCCAGAAGGTGAATGGGTAGTGTGGCTGGTGCAATCCCCAACTATTAGCAGATATTCATGAAAAAGTATGAGTGAGGAGGATGTTATTTCTGTAACTGTTTTATCTCATCATTGGAACTGATTTAGCAATGAAGAAATGCACATGTACTATTCATTATTTTCATTTTTTAAAAAAAAATTTGCAATTTATTCAGTTTATGTCGCGATTGTAGTCCCCTCCCTCGTCTCCTCTCGGTCCCGCCTTCTATCCCTCTTCCCATTTTCTTCTTCCCTAGTCCACTGAAAGCACGAGTTCTCCTCCCCTACTGTCTGACCCTAGTCTATCAAGTCTCATCAGCACTTCCTGTATCCTATACCTCTGTGGGCTGGCAAGATTGCCCAAGATTGCCCTGAGAGGATGTGGGAGGGGGTCAAACAGAAGCAACCAAGTTCATGTCAGAGACAGCCCCCTGCTCCCCTTACTAGGGAACCCACTTGGAGAGCTGCCTATGGGCAATATCTGAGCAGGGGGTCTAGGACCTTCCCATGCATGGTCTTTGGTTGGAGCATCAGTCTCTGCAGCCGCCTCCCCCTACCCTGGGCACAGATATGTTGACTTTGTTGGTGTCCTTGTGGAACCCCTGCCTCCTCCAGGTTCCCCCCACACTCTGCCCAAAGTTTGGCTGCAAGTCTCTGCATCTGCTTTGAACTTCTGCTAGGTGGAGTCTTTCAGAGGACATCTATGGTAGGCTCCTGTCCTGTTCTCTCTCTTCTGCTGCTTCCGGTGTCTGTCCTATTTGCCTTCTGAAAGAGAATTAAGCATCGCTCCTAGGGTCCTCCTTGTTGTTTAGTTTCTTTAGTTCTGTAGATTTTAGTATGTTTAGTATGTCCTGGCTAAAATCTGCTTATAAGTGAGTATATACCACAGGTGTCTTTCTGATTCTGGGTTACCTCACTCAGGATGATCTTTTCTAGTTCCATCTATTTGTCTGGAAATTTCGTGAGTTCCTTGTTTTTAATTGCTGAGTAGTATTCCATTGTGTAATGGTACCACAATTTCTGTATCCATTCTTTGGTTGAGGGATATCTAGGTTTTTCCCAGTTCTGGCTATTATGAATAAAGCTGCTATAAACTTGAGAAATTAATTTTGGATACATTTTTAGATTTCTTTAATGTAGTCCTTTTTCAGAATGTGAGCCTTCGGGCAGAGAATAAGATTTTGACTTTATAAACTCAATATATGGCAACATGCCCAACCGTTGGTGAGAATTTAACAAAGGTGAATCAATGTGGGAGCAGTGTGGATCTTTAGGTGCTTTAATTTCATTTCCTCTTCTTGAATAAACTAGTATAACAAATACAACTCAGGAGAAAAAGTCTTCATTTTAGCTCACTGGTTATTGTCCTTCATTACAGGGAAGCCAAGGGGGCAGAAACAAGAAAAAACTAGTTAACCTTACAGCCAAGAGCAGAGAGAATGAGTATATGGAGGCTGTGTTCAGCTTGCTTTCTCCATTTTATATAGGTCAGAATGGTCTATTCAGAGAATGGAACTACCCAGTGTGTGTGTGTGTGTGTGTGTGTGTGTGTGTGTGTGTGTGTGTTTCCTATATCTATTAAACTAAGATAATCCGCAAGACACATGCCAAAGACCAACTTAGTCTAGACAATCCGTCTTTGAGGTTCCCTTCCTAAGTGATTCTAGATATTTTTTTTTCCAAATTGACTGTAAAAACTGGTGATCAGTGATCACACTAACTAAGAAGACCAAAACTAAAGCTGCCACTGTACCTATTACTATCTGTGGCTCTGTCTTTCTTTCTCTTTTTCATTCCGTTGATGAGTAATTATAGGAACATGTCCTTAGAATATTTTTTAAAAATATAAATGTTTAAAAACAATATTTTTTTTAAAAAAAGAACAAATCATCTTTAAAAGTCACTACAAAAATACAATGACTTAAATGTCAAGCTGTGTGACATCAGAGGAGTGTGCTACCTGAAGCTCCTTGTGGTAATGTGTAAACAAATCCTGATGTTACATATGAACAAATCAACTGTTACTTGTAATAATGCTGTAGCATTACTAAGGACCATAAAGATGTAATGAACAAAACACCAAAGGGGAAACGCCAGAAAAGCTTTCAGATTTTTAAGCCTGTGGGCAGAATGTGTTAATGCTGATTTATCACATTAAAGGTGAAAATCTGTGCATATTTAAAAGAGCCTAGTAGCTTCTCCTTCAGTTTATTTCTGCTGAGTGGCTGACCCGAAACTGGTGCCCACAAAATTAGCTTAGATTTCCTTGGACCATTTCCTCATTCAAGTTGTTTCACATGACAGGCTTTTAGAACGCTAGAGGGAAGTCTTTAGGACCATGACGCCAGTCCATTTGCCCTGAGGGGAGGTTACTGAAGTCCCGAGTGAAGACTGTTCTGTCTGTGTATAGAAGATTTTCCTTCTACGGTTCTTCAGTAGGACTTGAGCTGGAAACAGTGCAGAGCGCTCAGGGAAGCCCTCCAGGAAATGTATCATTGTACGTGTTCTTTCTTTTAGGTCTCTTTTTTGGCATAGTCTGTACCTCCATGGCTGTGGTTGCGTCCTTCATGGGGAGTGTTATACAGGTAATGAAAAAGGGAAAAGGCATTTGATTTCACAGCAGACTTTTCCCTGTCATTCCTTCTAACGCAGTGTCTGTTACTCCAAGGCCCAACGTTAGTATTGGTAGATACCAGATCCATAGGAAACATACATGAAAATTTCAACCAAAAATTACTTTCAGAAGGTGAAAGTAGCAATAGGATGACTTTTAATGGGTTTATTTTCTCAGTTTATAGAACATGTGTTCTCACATTTCCTCTAATGTGTTAAGATCCTTTGTTTTCTCTTTCTCAGTGTGATCAGTAGTTACTAAACAAATAAACAAGTCATCTTGTTCATTTTGGTGAAACTATGAGTTTCTGAAATATTTTTTATATTAATTACAGTTTATTCACATTGTATTCCAGCTGTAGCCTCCTCCCTCATTTCCTTCCAAGCCCACCCTCCCTCATCTCCACCTATGCCCCTCTCCAAGTCCACTGATAGGGGAGGTTCTCCTCCCTTTCCATCTGACCCTAGCCTGTCAGGTCTCATCAGGATTGATTGCATTATCTTCCTCAGTGGCCTGGCATGGCTGGTCCCCATTCAGGAGAAGGTGATCAAAGAGCCAGCCACTGAATTCATGTAAAAGACAGCCCCTGTTCCCTTTACTAGGGTACCCACTCGGAGACTGAGCTGCCATAGGCTACATCTGAGCAGCAGTTCTAGGTTATCTCCATGTATGGTCTTTGGTTGGAGTATCAGTCTCAGAAAAGACCCCTTTACCTAGATTTTTTTGGTCTGTTGCTCTCCTTGTAGAGCCCGTGTCCTCTCTAGGTCTTACTATCTCCCCCTTCTTGAGAGATAGATTTTTTTTTTAGCTCATTTGTAATTAAGGTGCGGCGGGTTCTGGAGGAGGCAAAGACACCCCGAGTGACTGACAGAAAGAAATTGTACCTGTAGTGAGTGAGTTATAACAGTATACTCATCCCTCTGTTCGTGTTCAGCTGAGTGTTCTGGCCCAAGTGACCAGACCAGTTAAAATGTATGACACACAGTCTGCACAGCATGGATGCTGGCAGGCTAGCAATGGAAACCCCTACCTTGTCTCTCAGGAGAGGTGAGTGAGCCAAGAGATTCACTCCAGTGATCCACTCATTTCTCTCCCCACATCTGAGTAAATAAAGACAAGTGTTCCTTTTTTACTGTAATGTTTTGCTATTTGAATGTAGTAAATCAATATTCAGATTCTGATTTTACGTATGGAAGGCAACACAAACTCAAGTCCTACATGTCTGAATGATAGGACTGGGTCTAATAAACCACACTGCACTTACAGCATGTATTTGTGGTTGATGCTGGTGGCCACAGCTTTCAGGCCATAAGAGCACCATCAATCTTTTAGTTTTTGTTTGGTGTTTTGTTTATTCAAGTTTGGTTTTCAAGTCCTGTGGTATTGTTTTGCCGTAAGAATTTAAAAAGTGTGTCCCGAAGAGTTTCAATCTGTGAAACGTTCCAAGGGAGATTATTTGCATAGTCAACCCTCGTGTTGAACATCTCACAAATAAGACGTTTCCTTAATATATGAGATCAAATGTATATTAGTATTTGGAAGGCTGTGTGAAAGCCAATGGCAAAGAAAGTTGTTGCAATTGAAATGCTGAACATCCCCACTGAAGGACGCAAGGAAGGATCAGATGGGAGCAGGAAGGCTTTTTCCTTAATGAGGGCCTTGAAGAGCTCCCTGTGAGACACCTTTGGTTTGTAGTTCTTTGCCTTCTAGTTTCTAATCTCGTGCCGATTTCTCAGGTCCCATGTTCTGACATTTACTAACGTCAGGTCTTCAGAAGAGGAAGATACTAAAATGAGTGAAGTGATGACAGCTTCATTATGATTAAAATTCAAAATCCTTTTAAGATTTGTGAAAGTTAAAATGCTGAAGACATTTTTTCCATATAATATGCTGTTGCCCCCAGGATTACCTGGAACTCTCCTAATGGGTAGAATAATGGTAGGATAATTTCAAGACATTTTCTTTTTTAATCTCAACTAAAGCAGGATTTCTCTAGATTTTTAAGTATTCTAACACTGAGAAGCCATGCCACAGAAATCAAAGCTCCCTAGCAAGGGATAGTACTGACAAATGCAGTGAGAGCAGTGGGCATTTCAGGGCCACTCCTAATGTGTGACATGCCACTCAAACGCTTGTCTGAGTTTTCTTTAAGAATCCACATCAAATCTTCACCAGAAAAAGGTTCAGAAAGTGGGTATGATGAGATACCCTTCTGACATTTTAAGCAAGGTTACATTCTATTGTCAAGGCCCATTAGGAGCTCCAGCCCTAAAGCACAAATTTCTATATACTATTCTCCACTTAGAGGAGAAGCTCAGAAAGGGTCTGGGCATGAAGTAGACACTAAGTTAAACTAGCTTTAAGCTGTTTCCAATTAAAGATGCTGACTGAAAACGAAAAGAAGGTAAAAATGAAAGCCTTTGTAGACTACAGATACACACAGAGAACATTTTGAATATATGTGTATTTAAAATAGAAAGTCTTAAATTGATTTTCTGTTGCTTTTTGCTTCGAGGCATAAGACATTCCAAATTTGTCCATTCCCTCCAAACACCCACAAGAGGAGTTAAATGTCTTTAATATTTTATTGACTTTTCAATCATGATAGCTAGTAATTATTTTCAAATTTCAGATGAATTAATCCTACCACCAACAAAGGAAATGCCACCAATACTAAATAACTAAAGATAGAAGAAAAGTAACTTAAGCTCATATGCCCCTGTTTTATTAAAGAAATAATAAGGATTGAATTCTTTAAAAATGAATCTGCAATGGGAAGGGGCGTGTGTGAAGAAGAGGGAGGAAGGGTGGGATCAGCAAGGGAGGAGGGAGGGGGTTAGGGGGGGTACAAAGTGAATAAAGTGTAATTAATAAAAATAAAAAAAAGAATCTGCAAAAGAAACCATGATAATATTGCAGCACATATATCTGGTAAAAGAACTTAGGTTGTGGCTGGAGTAAATGGAAAGATCTCAGTCTTTTATATGTTTATGCTGCAAGAAGAAAGTGAAAGTTGACTGCATATAAGTTAATAACAGAAAATTCATCAAATCCTAGTGATATGTGACAGATTACAGTGAGAATTCAAACATAGCCCCTCTCAGAGCCATTTTCTTTTTTAAGTAATAAAAGGAGGGCACTATGGTGATTTGTGCTCTTGATGTACCTATTTATTTATTATTTACTCAATTATCTATTATCTATCTATCTATCTATCTATCTATCTATCTATCTATCTATCTATCTATCATCTCTTCATCTGTCTAGCTATCTGTTTACTTGTTAGTGTTTAGTTTTTCAAGGCAAAGTTTCTCAGTGTAGTTATGACTGTCCTGGAACTAGTTTTGTAGTACAGGCTGGCCTCAAACTCACAGCCTGGTCCACAAAGAGAGTTCCAGGACAGGCAGTGAAGTTACACAGAGAAACCCTGCCTCAATGACACACACACACACACACACAGAGAGAGAGAGAGAGAGAGAGAGAGAGAGAGAGAGAGAGAGAGATATCTTGGTATTTTTAAAGTTACTTTGGACTGCTTTTGGTAAGAAAATGTATAATTTCAAAGACTGCTTTTGGTAAAAAAAAAAAAAAAAAGTAAAATTTTAAAGACAGACAAATCCAGATGTATAGATGGCCTTCGTCCACTCTCTAAACGAAAGTAGACTTGAATGTTGTTCTATTAGTGCCAAATTTCTTTTCTATAAATTTTGGCTACTGTTACTGAGCTGGGTAAGTGTGAGGGTTAAAGGAGTCATTGTCTAGAGTAAGCAGGTGGACCTTCTTGACTTCCTGACACATGGTTGGCATACGACAAGCAAACTTTTATACAGTCTTGGGAGCATTCTAAACTTTAGGCCCTGATATAAAATCCCCACAGTACTTTTACAGATGCAGAGAGTGCCTCAACGAAAGTAGTTTTATGTCTGTTGTGTATGCATGTGTCTATGTACACAAATGTTTTTACCTGTGTTTATGGTAGTCTATAAACCATAAGATGGTTTATTTGGGTTTATCATTTAAGGGTGAGAGATATTGAAATTCTTTACTCAAAATGTCCTAATATCCAAAAGAGGTATTAAGATAATATCCGTAAGGGATGTATCCAAAAGGAATAAAAGAGAGGAGTTACAGAATGTCTGATGACCTCTTCATAGTGTTCTATGTACACTAATCAGAATCTTAGAAGCGGTATGGGTGGGGTGGCAGTGGTCGGGCTCCATATAATTATTAGGCAAATGAGAGAAAATTTCAAACATAATTAAACAGCTGATCAGCCATTTAGGATATGAAAAACAAGTTATAGATGTATTGATTTAGTAAATTAACAAACAAGCAAGCAAGCCAAACACCTTCTATGGTTCTGGGAATTAGATCAGGGCTTTGTGCATTCCAGGCAAGTGAAAAGAGAAAGGAAAGCCCATTTGCCATTACAAGAAGATAATAATTTCAAGTTAACTGAACTGCTATTTTATACATCTCTGCATACCCATACACACACTCATGTGCACAGATATATGCCTAGCATGTGTGTTTGTAATGTGGACATTTTTATTTCTTTTTTTATACAATGCTTGACAATGAACTCATAATTAATTTGAAGAAAACCCATAATTAATAAATGCAGCCGAAGTTCATTCAAGGTTCATTGAAGGAGGGTGGAGTCAGTGGAGATTCCAGATTCTGTAGGATAGTTGAGCTGATCTGGTCTGCTTTATCCTACAGGCTGCCCTCAGCATCCTTGGCATGTGTGGGGGTCCGATGCTAGGTTTATTCACTTTGGGGCTCGTGTTTCCTTTTGTGAACTGGAAGGTAAGGATTCTATACCTCTCTTCATAAGTCCAGTTCAAATAGGCTCTTTCCATTTTCTATCTACTCTTCCCTCTGGTTGGGAAGGCTGTTTGCTTTTGCCAAACTATACTTCTAGTTTACATACAAAAAACAAATAAATGAATAAAATAAAAACCTAACTAACCCCTAAATTTGTGTTAATTGTACTTCTATTTTTACAAACATACATATACACAAAGGTATAGAATTAAACATGACCTGGGCCCTTCTACATTAGAATATACTGAAACCTGTCTAGAAGCAAAAGGCAAATTAAAAAAGAAGTGGCTTTCAGCAGACATATGTCAAATGATTAGTACATAGAAAAAACACGCCAGAGATAATTTTACATCTAGCTCTTCCATTCTTACTAGCACATTTTCAAGTAAATATAAGTAGAGTGTATACCAGGTATAGGCCAGATGAAAACTTTTTTTAAGAGAAGTAACATAGTATTATTCAAAACCACTTATAATTTCCCAATCTAATTAGACATACACTTTCATTTTTCTCTACACAGTTACATGCACAGTTGTAGAGACTCCAGAAAACCTGTCTGTATTTATGTATAAGTTCTGAGTTTAATGGCCCATCTGTTTTTGTGTATGCAGCTATCTGTTTTTCGTTGATACTGTTCTAGATAGGTCCTGTAGGATTAGATAGTGAGCTTGGACATACAGTGAACATTTGTGCATTTGTAAAAATTCTTCTGCATTCTTATTAAGAGAATACTGTCAAAATCACTGCTGCAGTATTTGAGTTTATAAAAATGTTTATGTTTATTAGGTCATAATTTGAGGTAATACTTAGTTATCAAACTCAAACAATCCAAAGACATACTCAGTAAGGTAAGTTCTTACTACATGAAAGACAACAATAGGCATGCTGATGTGGACATGGGAGAGACCACAGGGCCTCAACACTACACAAAGAAAAGCAAGCAACTAAGGAATAGTGAGAGTGGGAGACAGCCATCCCCAGGGAAGATCATACTAAATGGTTATCCAATACCACATAGTCAGCCCTGAAAACATATATGTTCAAGTAACATTATACATACTGATCAGGTTAAATTTAGAAATGTATATCTACATCTACCTATATCTACATCTCCATCTCCCTATATACATACATACAACAATTAATTAAAAAAAAGAGGCATACATTTTTAAATAGATCAAAGAGAAAGTGGGAGAGTTTGGAAGAAAGAGAAAGGAGAATGATGACATTATATTATAATCTCAAAACTAAAAGAAGTAATGAAAAGGAAATTATCTATGTTAGTATGTCCTAGTACTTCTGATTATTCAGGAAAACAAACCCCTTTATTCTAGATAGAGGATAGTAAATAGTATGAAATTGTGCCGTCTCCTGTCTTGTTCACTGATGTTAACTACTATATCATTAATCTTTCCCCCAGGAACTATAGGAACAGCTCCAGAATCTGCCTCACCATGGCTGTCTAGGTAGTTTCCTAAGTTGACCCACTGACTTTCTTCTACTGCTAAGTTGGGATCAGGAAATTTTGACTTAGTACAAACTGTAACTGGTTTCGTTTCTGGGGGTATTACCTGCAATCTATGACTGTTTGTAAATAGATGGAAACTCAAAGTGATTATATTTTTACAACACATTAATATTAAATGTCAAAATTCATCAACAAAGTCTCATTGGAACAGAAGCAGCCTCTTTTTGTGTGATATCATCCATAACTCTTTTGTGGTACAATGGCTGCATGAATAGCCATGGCAGATACTTCATAGATCACAAAGCCTAAAATATGATCTGACTGCTTAAAGAAGTTTGTACACCTTTTGTCTAGGCCAAAGTACAAGTGTTCACTTGCACACCTGGTTTACTTTCACCAAACAATAATGGAGAAAGCATTCTGAGCCTTTATGAAGGACTCCTTTTGTGCATAATAGGAATCTGAACAAGTTGTTTTCTTCCACAAAAGTGTCAGCTATGTAATGGCAAACAGAAGCATCTAATGTGATCTTTCCAGAAATCCTAGTCTTTGTTAGATTTGTTCTACTTCCTCACAGAAAAAATTATTCATCGATTTTTTTCACCTGTTTATTAAGAAACATAATCTTTAAATGGCAGGTATAAAAAATGCACTTACTTGAGTTTAGAATCAGTGAATTAATCAATTAATCAAACAAACAAACAAACCCAAAACTGAGAACCAGAAGACTCTTCTAACTTGTGAAACAAAATAGCAGCCAAATTTTCTGTATAGTATCTGTCAGTAAAGATTGACTTCACTGTTTAAAGTTTTTCATAGCTTCTGAAACTCTTCTGTTAAACATAGGTATCAAGAATAGAAAGAAGAACAAATAAAATGCAGGAAAAAATTCACCAAGAAACAACTTATTCTTACTTAAAATAACCTTATTGGGCTGCGATGCTATTTATAATTCAGTGGTGGAGAACTGGCCCAGCATGCATAAGATCCTCGAATCCACACACAGCGCTGAAAATAAATAAGTAAATAAATCTGCTTCCTGAGAGCTGAAATGGAGGCAGTTTGAGCTGTTTCCAATGCATGTGACCAAGATTTAAGATGGACAGCTAGTACGGTTTCAGTTCCTAACACCATCTGTAAATATTCCTATAAGAAAAACATTTAACACCTCATATCAATATTCTTGGCAAAAAAAAAAAAAAATCTTTGTCTCATCTCTTACTGTCTTCTATTTATCTCTGTCAAGGGTGCACTAGGAGGCCTCCTCACTGGAATCACATTGTCATTTTGGGTGGCCATTGGAGCTTTCATTTACCCTGCACCACCCTCCAAGACATTACCTTTGCCTCTATCAACAGACAAGTGCATCCAATCAAATATAACAGCAACAACAACAGGAGCCCCACAGCTTTCCAGCAGGTATATTGACTTTAAAAATTGTACTAAGTCCCAAAGTAGGTCAGCAACTCAGAGGAGAGACGTTCCTCAGAGATGATTTGATGAGCTAGTTCTTCCTCATCTGGAAGTGTTCAGCAATGAAGAGTGCTGTGCAAGGCTACACAGAGTTCTGCAGACGGCTGTTCCTCTGTACGTAGGTAAACAGGAGTAAAAGTAGTATATAGGACGGTCGATTAACAGGTCGGGGTTGATGAGCCAGTGTAAGGTATCTGAAGGCTGTGTTCTTTTCTGTGTAGTCTATAGTAATTTGCTCCTGCCCCATGCAAGCACTGACAAGTCTCTCTGGAGATTTCCTGTCAGTTCATAGACATAGGCAAGTGTCTGTCACAATTTTTTCCCAGTAATGTTGGTGTTAACGAACAATTTAATAGTGAATAACTGAGTGAGAATAAGTGAATTAGTGAATGGAATAAGTGAATAGAATAAGTGAAAAGGAATGGAAGACATGGCCCTTATTGCAAAATCTCTCTCTGTATATATACATGTCAATATATCTATATTTATAAATCAGAGATGATACAGACTGTGTATAATTAAAAGCCAAACTAGCTTGTGATTAATTATCTTTTGTTAAAAAATCAAATAACAAAAGATTAAACTTTGGAGTTTTAAGAGATGCCAGAACTTAGAGCGAACAGAGTATACCCTAAGGGATGAGTTCTTATTTCCGAATAATGAACAGAGTTGATGACGTGCCATTTTTCTTCACAGACCTTTCCTAGCTGACACCTGGTATTCACTCTCCTACCTTTACTACAGCACTGTGGGCTGCCTGACGTGCATAGCCGCTGGGATAATCATCAGCTTCCTTACAGGTGTGTTATCTGGATCCCTCTTTGAGGGTTATTTCATACCACTATAGACTACCTAGCCTCACTGACTTGCTTCTGAGGCCACCACAAAATGTCCTCTCCCCAAAGAGATACATCTACTGTCTTTAGGCTGATATCTCTTTCTCTCTCTCTCTTTTACATGTGTCTGTGTGTATATGTAAAACAATCAGAAAATGAGTAAGATATTTTGAAACATGCTCCTGCCATCACACCTCAGTACAAGAAATTCTCTGTAATGGCAATTATGAAGGAGGACTAAATCCCAATTATGTTTTCCACCTGACTCCAAACACAGTCCTCTCTTGTATTCATGGTTTGATAATGTAGAGCTTTGAGGCTTGTGCACTGTGCAGGGTGACGACAAAAGGGAGAAAAAAAAAGGCATGGATTATAAGTCATGCTTTATGCTGTTTTGATAGGGGCAGTGTCTTAGCTGTTGTTAGAGGATGGGAAGCCAAGGTTACAATAAAAGTGATATTGGGGCCTGAAGAGATGAATTGGTGGTTGAAAACAACCGGCTGCTCTTCCAGAGGACCAGGCTCAATTCCCAGCACCAACCTTGTAGCTCACAACTGACTCTAACTTCAGTTGCTGGGAATCTAGTTTCTTTTTCTGGCCTCTGTGGGCAATGCAGGGGCACGGTACACAGACATTAATGCAGACAAAGTATCTATGCACAAAAAATAAAAATAAGTAAAAGAAGTAGTGGTTTCCTCTTCAAGCCTTGCTCTATCATTTTATAAAACACTCAGTTATCTGACATTTTTCTTACATATTATAGTCACAGATGGAAATAGTCCACTGCTTGGCCTTCAAGATCTTACTTCAAGGTCTTACATGAAATAAACCCGTGATTAAGAAAAAGCTTAGAGACCCCCAAGTTGAGTTACACTTTTATTTTTTTTTTAATTTTTTATTTAACTTTTATTAATTACACTTTATTCATTTTGTATCCCCCCATAAGTCCCTCCCTCCTCCCCTCCCGATCCCACCCTCCCTCCCCTTTCTGTATGCATGCCCCTCCCCAAGTCAACCGATAGGGGAGGTCCTCCTCTCCTTCTTTCTGATCTTAGTCTATCAGTTCTCATCAGAAGCGGCTGCACTGTCATCTTCTGTGGCCTGGTAAGGCTGCTCCCCCCTCAGGGGGAGGTGATCAAAGAGCAGGCCAATCAGATTATGTCAGAGGCAGTCCCTCTTCCCATTATTATGTAACCCACTTGGACACTGAACTGCCATGGGCTACATCTGTGCAGGGGTTCTAGGTTATCTCCATGAATAGTCCTTGGTTGGAGTATGAGTCTCTGGGAAGTTCCCTGTGTTCAAATTTTCTTGTTCTGTTGCTCTCCTTATGGAGTTCCTGTCCTCTCCAGCTCTTGCTATTTCCCACTTCTTACGTAAAATTCCATTCACTCTGCCCAACAGTTGGCCATCAGGCTCAGCATCTGCTTTGATAGTCTGCAAAGTAGAGGCTTTCAGAGGCCCTCTGTGGCAGGTTCCTAGGTTGTTTCCTGTTTTCTTCTTCTTCTGATGTCCATCCTCTTTGCCTTTCAGAATGGGGATTGAGCATTTTAGTTAGAGTCCTCTCTTTTGCTTAGTTTGTTTAGATGTGCAGATTTTAGCGGGTTTATTCTATGTTGTATGTTTATATGAGTGAGTATATAACGTGTGTCTTTTTGCTTCTGGGACAACTCACTCAGGATGATCCTTTCCAGCTGCTTGAAAAACTGAAATCCTGCCCTCACCTCATTATCTACTATCTCCCAAACTCTTTTTAGTTAAAAAAAAAAAAAGCAGAACTTAAATAATATGAAACATAGAACTCTTTTGAAGGGTTCTCGGTAGCTCTAGCATGGAAAACATGGGGCTGACGGGTCTTTTCTTTTTCCCCTCTTCCTCTCCCTTGCTAAAAACCATTAAATTATATTCTGAAAGATAGCCTTTAGGGTCTATTCACTTATTTGTCCACTGACTCATTCCTGAGGCAAAACATCAAAGTCCAACAATCAAAATCCACTGTTTGGCTAACATATCCAATCAGGACTTACCAGCTTACCCTAGCACAGCCTTCTTTTTCATGAAAATCCCACTCCTGCAAAAAAGCTGCTTGCTGCTTGCTACTTGGATATCTGCCTTTGTCCTATCCAGAGGCAGTCCCGACCCCTTGCTTGCCCCTTTGGAGTAATAAATCTCCTTTTTGCTGAAAATTCTGTGTCTGAATGTGTCCTGTACCAACTCTATGTGTGTGTGTGTGGGGGAAGGGATGAAAAGGTCCCCTACATCTTTCATTTTCGCAAATTTTAGACTCTGGTCTGTATCATCTGATTTACTTATTGTAGTGTTTGATATTTCATCGTCTGTTTCTAGATGGCACCTTCTATGTTTGATGCTTAGGACATGGCTTGGTTCTACTTTAAATCATTTGATCCAGAAATACATTGTCATTCCTCTTTACAGAAGTCTTAGAATTTTTTTTTCACATGGTTCTCTATCTTTCTCTTTTCCTCTCTTTCTTCCCCATCTCTCTCATGCATTAAGACAAATGTTGTGCTGCCATCTTTAAGATCACACATGGTTACTTCTTTGCTGCATTATTTACTAATTAATATAAACTTCTATATCAGCAATACATGCCTCAAGTGTGTCTAGTATGTAAAAGACACTGACACATAACAATTTAATTAGAAGTCTATTATATAAAATACTTTTGACAGAGTGATGTAATAGTGTGAAACCTGTTATTTGAGCCTCAAAATATTGGACAGGCATAAAATGTTAGTTAGATATAACATCCAGTCATATAAAGAATCTGATAAATGTATTTAACTCTTACCACACTGATTCTTCCAGGGATCTTTAGCTGGATTGGCTTTCATAGTTGCTGGAATTTGTGGGATGGGGTATTTACACTAGTCATTGTAGCCAGAAAATTTGCAAAGATTCTGAGAGGATGACCTCATCAGCCTTTACATAAATGTCAGTCTTACTTGATCCTCAGTAAGACTTACAGGGGCAGAGCACTGAACAGGTATGTTTTAAGGATAAGAAATGAAGTGTGAGCAAAGGCAAGATTGTTGGAAAAATCCTAGAGGACTCTCTAAGATGTTGATGCTGTAGTGAAAGAAAAGAAAACAGTGAGAATGATCCTCCTAATTTTACAAATGCAAATCTAGATGATTATGTAAATATATGATATAGATAAAAAAAAATTGGAAAGAAAGAAACTGTTTAACTTTGTAGTTCTGAACTTTCTTGACCTGACGATATGTGAATTGCTAGCTCTCACCTCTTCCAGCAGTCTTCCATGTTCTATGGATTCACCTTTTTTTTTTTTTTTTTTTTTTTTACTAAGCCATTTTAACTCTTTATTCTGTGCTGCCTGTCTCCAAGAAAGCACTTAAGAGGCATGACATATGTTGTACCAGTGTTGGTAGAGTCCATACAAAATTAAGCACACCACGTACTTGACTTCTTTTCCTAAATTTTACCTTCTGTCCTTGATTATTTATTTTTTGGAGGCTAAGCAAATGCAAGTTTAGAAATCACCACTTCTAAGTCATAAATATATTGTGTAATTATATACTTGTAAAAGTTATTATTCTTGTAAATGATGTAGACTCCAAACCCTGTCTTCCAATTCCGAGGCATAAGTTGTCAAACTTGGTTAAGTGTGTCAGAAATGAACTGATATATTTTCAAAAGGTCCAACTCTTGTATCTAGATTTTGGAGTTTTTTTCTCCTTTATTGTTAGATAAATTGGCTTTTAACTGAGGTCATGTGACCTCACATACTATGGATTCACCTTTAAAGCTTGTCTTCATGCTGTTAAAAAAGTAACTTGTTCTTCAAATTGATGATGCCTATACTGAAATAGAAGGCCTGGAGGGCTGACTCCATTTAATCCATCTCCCTTTTCTTAATAGGCAAGCAAAGAGCCAAAGATATTGACCCTCTTTTAATAAGACCAGTTTGCAATTTATTTTGCTTTTGGTCTAAGAAATACAAAACTCTGTGTTGGTGTGGAGTTCAGCACGACCGGGAAGCTGAACAGGTGAGCCGATGCACAAGCTTCTTAAAGCAGGTGTTTCTCCATCTCTTCCTTCATCCCTTCATCGCTTCCTGCCAAAGGAGTGGATCTAGCTGAGAACAGAGGTGCCTGGGAGGGACTGGAAGGAGTGGAAGGAGGGAAAACCTCTAACAGGATGTAAGGAAAAATACATTTAAAAAAAAAGAGAGATCAAACAAATTAAAACAGGCATTGGCTTACTAAATTCTCAACCTTCACTTGAATTCTTAACCTTCTTAATCTTTCTATGTTGCTACCCTTTTATAAGGTTCCTCATGTTCCTCATATTGGGTGACACTTTCCATAAAATCATTTTTGTTGCTACTTCATAGCTATAATTTTGCCATTGTTATGCATTGTAATGTAAATATCTGTGTTCCTCAATGGTATTAGTCAGCTGTGAAAAGTTTGATAAAAGCAGGGAGAGAGATGTGCCCACCCCTAGGGGTAATGTTCTGACCCTAGGAATGCCCTTCTGCCTCTTTGTAATAATTGCTAGGGAAAGGGCTGTAAGGATGGAAAAGTAACTCTCAGGGCTTGAAAGAATCTACACTTTGACCACCTAGCTGATGGTCTTTTAAATGTTTGTGTTGATGGGTAAATGTGCCTCATGGCTGGATTGTTGATAATGCAAGTGATCAGTTTTCAAAAATGAGTTCCAAGAAAAAATATAAAAATAAGTTTTAAAAAAAATAACAAACTACAAGACACAGTCAAATGTGACAAGTGAGTTGATGAGTTTGAGAGTCAGATAGCTTTGGTTCTCGGCCTTATTTTCCTTTTGTCCAGCTTTTGTTATTTGAGAACTAAAGCGGATGATTATACCGAATGACATAGACACAACTTTCTAATTCTCTAGGAATCACCCCTCCTCAATTCCTTATGCCTATCATCTCTTAACAAAATTCTGGACAGAAAGACACATAAGAGGCTTTGTGGGTTTTGGGGGTTTTGTTGTTTGTTTGTTGGTTGGTTTGGTGTGTGTGTGTGTGTGTGTGTGTGTGTGTGTGTGTTTTGTGGTTTTGGCTCATAGTTTCTAATGGTTCACCCATGATTGCTTAGTCCCATGCACTTGGACTGATAAAGAGGTTAGTTATACCATATGAAGGAAGAGGCTGCCAATTCCTGGTGGAAGGAAGGAAGAAACAGAAAGAAAAGAAATACATGCATGGGTCGGATCTAGACATAGCCCCAAGGAAAAGCCCCAAGTGACCTATTTAATCCAGTTGGGCTTCCTGAAAACCACAATTTCCTCCACATCACCATTTGAAGTAAAACTATGAGAAAACATTCCAGATTCAAGCCATTATAAGTATAAAAATTGGAGAGTTACAGTCAAAGCAGCAGCAAGATACACCTAACATCCTTAGACTCTTTATCCCCAAGAAGTACATTTGTGTTAGTCAAAGTGGAGACTCTTGCCAGTTGCATTCTCATCAGTAAAGACCCATAATGAGCAGCTTGAGATCTCAATTTCCCTCTGTAATGATAAAGCAAGCTGAGTAGCAGCAGAAGAGCTAGGCAATGAGGACCCTCTTCTGGAGGAAGGCAGGATAGGCTTTGCATGTTTTTAGCTCCGCTGGAAGGATTGTGAGGAAGGGAAGTAGAAGTGAATGGAAAACTGTCTTGGTCACCCTTCATAAAGGTGCAGTGGTTACATGATATCCCTTGACCTGGTTTTAAACACGTCAAGACTGGCTTTAAATATGTGTCTTTGCAATTTCAGGATCACCTTGACAGTGGCAGTGCCTGGAAACAAGGGGTCGAATCTGCTCTACAGAATGGACTGAAGCAAGAAAGCCTGGCTCAGATTCCAGGCTACAACCCCAAGGACAAAAGCTACAGCAACAGCATGCAGGAGAAGACTACTCATTTCTAGGATAATCCGTGCAACTGACAATATACTCACCTATACACACACATGTACTTTGTGTCACTTCTTGTTGTAGCCATGTGTACAAATTCTTGTCAGAAAAGAAGGATGTCCAATACCTATTTATACTTATTTATCGAATGTGACTGTTTCTCTGGATATTTTTTTTTGGAGGGGGAAGCCCAAAATGCAAGTGAGAAAAATCAGTTGAGGCTTTAAGGGATTGATGCTACATGCCTAAAGACTGAACAGGACTGAGTTTTATAATTCTGAAAGGAGTCAAAGTCTCTTGGATTCTTTTCAGATTAAACCTCCCGGTTTGTTGTTTGTAGGATTTTTTTTTTCCTGTGCTGAGAATTAAGCACAAGACCTTGCTCCTACAAAATACCTGTCTGACCACTGACCCTAGTTAACATTTTAAAGTTTTAACCATCAAAATATCATGACAAGGTAAAGATTAAACATAGAGGAAAATCTACATATTCAATGTTACTCTGACAAGGCCGATAAAACAGGAATGGCATCATCTCCAACCTCATGTCTTGCATATATATAGACATATCCATGCCTTCCTTTGTGGGCCACAGCTACAGTACTTAACTTCTATCAGTATCCACAAACTGCCTTCTTTGTGTGTTCCTTTAGCCATTCCTGCTGGTAGAGCTAGTCTGACCCAAAGAAGGATAACCTTACTAAGGACATGAGAAGAGAAATCAGTCTTCACAGTGGGAACAATCACATATAAACACATTATTCACTTTGTGCTATTGAGGCAATGTTTCTTCTTGATTTCTGTTACTTTAAAATGATAAATGTGGAGCTGGAAAGATGGCTCAGCGGTTAGGAGAACTTCTTGCTCTTCCAGAGGACCTGTGTTCGGTTCCCAGCACCAAGTTGAGTAGCTTTCAGCTGCCTATAAGCCTAGATCTTCAGGGAATCTGATGTCTTTTTGTGACCTCCATTGACATTCACATTCATGTGCGTACACACACATATACACACACACACACACACACACACACACACATACACACACTAAATAACTAAAACATTTGAGGTGAAAAAAAAAATCTGTGATTATCCGGAAGTCAAGACTATAATCGACAATGCTAAATAAAGGAAAAATCATACCTTACATAAAAGCTGTGAAGTCAGCCAGCATATCTTCAATGAACCATGTAAACAGTACGCTATTTATATCAGAGGTCATTAGCCATAGAATCTTTTCCATTATCCACAGAACTCATCCAAGTCACATGTGCAAGTTTATGGAACTCCATCAGAAATAAATAATAAAGTAAGCACTATCTTATTTTAAGTCTGCAGCATAACTTCAAAGTTCTAGAGCAGAGGGTTCCCTTTTACTCAAACTGAACAAATATGCCTTTATATAGAGAACAGAAGCACATACAAAAAAACTAAACATGTAACACAGGGATTGGAACTTTAGTAGTTGTGTGGTGAAGTGGAAGATCATAGTTAATAGCCTAAGCGATTCTAGCATTCTTTCCTTCCCACCTTTACTCTTGAAATGGCATCTCAGAATGGTGTTACGGGGCCACATTAAGGAGAAGTGGGTTAAATGTGGGGCTGTTTTGCCAGAGAATGTCCAGAAATTTCTCCATACATTATGCTGTGAGTGGTGAGTTTTTAGAAGTGGAAAGTGTGTTGAACTCAATACTAGACTTTGTGCCTCTTATGCATAATCGCAGACACTGGTGAGGATAAGCATGTCTATTGCACTAAACTCATTTAGATGGTTGTCGTGCTTTTTGTCATGATTTATAGTAAAGAATATAGTTTGTTGAGTGACACAAGGTATCTGAATCAAATGACTTAGACTCAAACATGAGTTCTGACCAAATTATCCTGGTCGTATGTGGAAAAGACTTTTTAAAGTATTAGTTTATTTTCCAATTAAAAGAAATGGAAAACTATTTTTACTTAAGAGAATTATTGTGGTGACTTAACACAGTAACTAGCCCACTGTCACTGTGTAGTGTATGAAGAAAATGGTGTTCATTTTAACTGAAATTATTTCGTTGTTTCTCTTTGATGACATTGAACGCACGTGCATTACTAGCATACTGTGCAAAAATAAAACAAATGAGCTACGCATGATTACAAGTCAGAACTAGTGTTCTGAGTTCCTAAACACTGTATTTTATATTAAAGTATCTATAAAACATTATTAAAACTTCCTACATTCCTAAAAATGAGAAGAGTCTTATCATTAAGGTCTACAAGTTCATTACTTAAAACAATGTACTCTATTTTGGTTTATTAAGCCACACATTTGTAAATTCCAGCCTTAAGCAGATATGTTGAATGATGTTAATAACACAGCACACAGAAGCAAGGCCGAATCTTGAAACAACAAGAAGGGAATGAGATTTGATTTACTTTTATTCAAACTGTTTTCTGAGTAATTTTAGTATTTTGTGACTTTATAGGGGTAACACAGTTTCAACAGGAATAGAAGAGCTCAAGAAGCTGTGACACTTTCACAAAGTATTTAAAAGCAAGTATTACTGAAATGTTTTGATGGCATTACAATCTTTTCAGAATATTGGAAAGCACACATGTAAGACAAAATGTGAGGTTTTTTTCACCTGTTTGGTTGAAGGTCAATTATTTTTCAAAATACTTTAGATAATTTTCAGAATTTTTTTACTGTGTCCATTTGAAGATTTACAGATTCCATATGCTAAATATTATAAAGTAAATTTAAAAAGGATTTAACTACCTTGCCCAATATTAGAAGCTTTATAACCGGATTCCATTCTGAACAACTGTAATTTATTGAGTATCACCATGGGAGCCATTTGAAATACTAAAGCCTTAACGTATGGTTGATAGAAAAAATACTATTTCTAGCTCTTGGAAAGATTGAATGCTATAATTTCAAACTCTCAAGCAAATCAATAAAGATTTTCAAATGTGAATAACAAACTCTCAAAAGTATGCTTTTTCATTGAAATATGTTTTGGTGTTTGAAGTACCAAAAGTCTTCAGAATAGATTTACATTTAATTATATGTGGCTATTTAGTCAAAACATAACCTTTATGGGCAGTTTCATGTCTTCATGGCAAATTAGAAAAACAAAACAAACAAAAAACAAAAATCAACCTTATTTTACAGAAGAAAATGCTCAATGATAGGAATACTTCTGTTCAACAATTGGAAATTCCAGGAAATATTTTTAGTATTAGTAAACTTTAACACAGTTTTGTATCCATTAATTCTGGGAAACTTCTACATTCAATGTGTCATTTATGTTACTATTTAATTTTAAAGAAACTGTTTGGGGAATGATGTATAATTAATGTTATTTAAATTATTTCTTTAAAAAAATAAATTCAGATTGAAAAGCATAGAAATGACCTTCGGTATATTTCCTATTAGTGAGGTGCAACATGGTGTACTACTCTGAAACTTTTCTGTAAACTTTAAAAACTAAGATGGGCCTGTCATCTAAAAAGTAAACATGTTATAATAAGCTTCACCATATTATATACAAGGTCATTCTTTTCAATGTTTTGCATAAATTATGTAGAGTTTGGTTTATAAAGGACATTAAGGAGTACACACAGAAACACAAATACACAGGATTTAAAAAAAAAGGTCTCATTTATTTTTGTGTTCAAAGATGAGCTGAACTTGTTTGCTGTCTGGTTAGAAAAAAAGCAAGATATGCTCACTATTGACGCTAAAGAAGCACCTGAAAAGGAGACTTGCTTTTGTACCTTGGTCAGACATTCCCAAGTTGGTCCTACTATGTCCAACACATAGCTTCTGCTAATATTTTGCAATTAGATTTGTTTTTCTTTCTTGTCATTCAATCCCTTGCTTCCCATTTAGATGACTACACCAAGAAAAGTAATGTCTATTCATATTACTGCTTCAAAATACAGTGACTTTGGCCTAAGGCGTTTAACTGGCAGTGTTAGGTAGACTTGAGATGATAAGACTTATCCACTAGGGCTGGATGTTCACATCACCATTTAATTTTGAAAAGTGTTCCAAATATAGATCTCATATTTATTCTCTAACTAGCAATTTAGAAGTTTTGATTCTTTAAAAAAATAAAGAGGGTAGAAAGATTGTTTTTTTTTATTTTTTTATTAATTACACTTTATTCACTTTGTATCCCCCCTTTAGCTCCCTCCCTCCTACCCTCCCAATCTCTCCTTTCCTTCCCCTTCTCCATGCATGCCCCTCACCGAGTCCACTGATAGGGGAAGTCTTCTTTTCCTTCCTTCTGATCCTAGTCTATTAGGTCTCATCAAGAATGCCTGCATTGTCTTCCTCTGTGGCCTGGTAAGGCTGCTTCTGCTCTCAGGGGGAGGTGATCAGAGAGCAAGCCAATCAGTTCGTGTCACAGACAGTCCCTGTCCCCACTACTATGGAGTACACTTGGACACTGAGCTGCCATGGGCTACATCTGTGCAGGGGTTCTAGGTTATCTCCGTGCATACTTGGTTGGAGTATGAGTCTCAGGAAGGACCCCGTGCTCAGACATAACCAAGGGTTGCCACTTACGGTCAAGAAATTTGGAAGGAACTTCATCCATCAGGGACAGCTACAGAGATCACCTGTTATGAAGCAGTAAGTGAATTTAGGAATCCACCAGGCCACTATTCCCTGATAATCCATGTCGATGACACCAGACATTAGATTAGTCTTGACTAAGAGATACTTTTAAGTAACCTACATGCTTTCATTTTTACTTTTTAAAGAAAGGCTTACTGTGGCTAAAACAATGGTAGTCTTTAGAAAGAAAACCATAAAATATAATCACAAGCATAATTTCCAGATGAACCCAGACTGCAAGCTTGATTGGAAGAAATTTATCATCTCCACAAAGACAAAAGCCTCAATTAGTAGGTACCTGGGATGATCAATAATTCAAACAAAAGCCCAATTAATTCTTATGTTAGACTATGCAAGGTTGGCACATTTTATTTTGAATGAAAATGCTTATAGGAAAACACTTAAGTTTCCAAATAAAACCAGAATTTTTGGTCTCCACAAAATGTTCTTCCTGTAGCTCTAAAAATTATAGGAGTTCAATAAGATGTTAATTGACTCTTTAAAACCCAGAATGCTGTTTGAAAGACTGATACTATAATGTAGAAAAAAATAGTGCACACTTGTCCAATGACATTTTTTTATTTGTTTTATTTTTAATTGCCCCCAATTGTCCAATTACCCTATCCAGCCATATCAGTTAAGTCATTCAATAAGCAGCACACATTTTTAGATTTAACCATCAAGTTTTTAAAACCAGAAACGGGCAAGTTAGTGAGTCTTGTCTATGAGATAAGAGTCTGTCTCCTTCACTTGGCACAAGGAAATTTTGCTCGTTATTTCCACAGTGAATTGCCAGAACAGTGTTCAAATCCCCAGCCCCTTGGCTCACACCATTATACTCTTCTGCAAGTTACTGTAGTCTGAATGAGAAATGTTTTTCACAGGCTCATGGATTTGAACACTTAGACCCCACTTGGTAGTACTGTTTGTGAATTATAGAATCTGCAGGAGATAGAATGGTGCAGGAGAAAGTACATTCCTGAGGCAGGTTTTGGGGGTTTATAGCCTCATCCCATTCTCAGTCCCTTGTCTCTGCTACCTATGTATGCTTGAAAACTGTAATCAGCTTGCTTCTTGCTTCCTACTATGCCTTCCTTACCATGAGGGCTCTATTCCTGTAAAAGCACTCTTTATTTAAACAATATATATAAATTCTTTCTTAAAACATTTTTAAGAAAGAAAAAATATTTATTTTTGCCTATGTGTATAATTGTTTTGTATGCATGTATGTTTGCATACCACATGTGCCTGGTGCCCCCTGAGGCTGAATGAGGGCACTGGATCTCCTGGAACTGTAGTTACAGATGGTTGTAAGCCACTCCATGGGTGTTGGGAACCAAAATAGGGTCCTCTGAAAGAGTAGCAGGTGCTCTTATCTGCTGAGTCATGTTTATCTGCCTGGAAGATTTTGATAGTGATTGAGAGAGGTAACATATTTGTGAAGAAAGTGATTGGATGTGATAGGAAACTTTTTACCTGCCCCTCTGTTTCTATCTCTCACCCTTGGGATGGCCAGGCCCATTGCACACTGGGCAGGAAGTGAATGTGTGAAGCTTGGCTGAGGTGGGTGAACACAAGCAGGATCTTGGCCAGTGCTGTGAATACACAGGCAAAGAACACATACCTGAGAACAGCTTCAGAGAACTGATTCATTTGGGATGGGTGGGGGGTATTTATGTCCCCAAGAAGGTGCCCATGGACTCTCTGCATACTCAGTGGTTGGTGGGGAGCGGAGTAGGAGGAAAAGCTTATAAAGGCAAACAAGGGGTTATGAAGAAGCTGATAACTGTCAGTGTAATAAATTGTTACTAGGGTTGATGGTGAGGCAGCCTACTTTATGGCACCAGGCTGGGAGAAGGGGAAGAGAGCCAATTCGTGTCATCCTTATCTGAGGTATCTAGGATTGAAGCTCTCCTCTACCCTTCCTCCATAATCCTGGACCACTGTGGTCTTACAGCTCCCCCCTTTTGTTTTATAGTAGATAGTATCATCATTGTCATCAGCCTCTAGGCTGGGAATAGTATGGTATTGAACAAGAATCTTGTGAGTAATCTTTGGAAATATTGCTTATTTGTTGCTTTAGGAATTGGATGAAACAAGGTGCAAGGAAAAGAAGGGTCCCAGTGGCCAGAATGGGAAAAAGGAGGGGAATAAAAGCCAAGTTACCAGAGGGTTTGAATGACACAGGGGTAGGAGTGTTGGGCACATACTGATCTTATTGGAGATCCTTGAGTACCTCTATGTTTTGTTTCTCTAGCCCAGATTCACTGACATAAAAATAGCATTCCTTCCCAAATACAACACAAGTCACTCCCTGTTCAGCAGTAAGGAAATTCAGAGCTTATTGATTTTTCATAGAACAATTCCACTAGGGAAGGGATCTATTGTTGAGGGAACTCCAGACTGTCCATGGTGGAAGCCTTGGCCTTATGAAGCTTGTTCTGGGAGAGGCTGTTCAGACGGTGTGTTTGAATGATGGCTTATCCAGGGGTTCCCATGGAGCCCAGCAAGAATGTGAGACACAGTTCAATGAGCAGAGGATGAAGACCTCCTTTTTCTGTAGGTCTCCTCCCCACTATAAAGTGAGTTCTTCAGGTTCATAGAGATAAACCTGGGGAACAATCTTTATGAGAGTGTAGAAATCTTGAAAGGGGGAACTGGAAATGTTATCACACCAGAGAAGGGGAGGGAGGCTAGGTTCCTACAAGGCAAAAGGGAAGAATATATTAAAAAGAAAAAATGTTCTGTAACTTTCCTGTATGCAAGGACCCACAGGGTTTAAGAAGCAAGATGTTAATGGGAACTGCTGCCAATGGTGGCCAGGAGATGGAAGCACAGAAGAAGCATTGAGAAGAGATAGGATAGGTTGTCTCCTGATATACTAGTGTACACTCTTCTTGAAGGCCAGTCCAGGTGCTATCGACTTCCAGGCAGGAGTGGATGGAACCTCAGAGTCCCAGGTTCTGCAGTCCTAGGTTCCACTTTTCTCAGGAACATCTAGAGGAAGGTCCATGTGCAAGGCTCCCAGTCTTACTAGGGATGTGGAAAAGAGTTTCCCACTGCTACAGTTAGTGCTTTTTAATGAGACAGGCTATACCAGACAGCAGTGGAAACTCGGAAATTCCAAAGCCAGTAGTGATACCTCAGTGTTAAAGCAGGGAATGGGGGCAAATGTCCATGTCAGGTGCATTCATGGCCAGAACACAGGTCTGGCCACTGCTTCATCGCTGGTCAGCTTCTCTATTCTGCAGACAAGCACCTAGCTTGCAGGAATAGGGTTTTAGTGGCAACAGAGGCAGCTATGGCTGCCTGGCCAGAAGCCAAGCCTGGTGATCTAGTGATGGATTATTCAGGGAGA